GACAGGGTCTCCCTGTAGCCCCAGCTGGCCTAGAACTTGCTATGTAGACCAGGCTGGCCTCAAACTCACAGAGATTCACCTGCCTCTGCCTCCCAAGACCAGTACACTTTTGTATTAGAAACAAAAAAAGTTATCATTTGAGTTTATACTACTGTTTACTTATTTGATATTAATTTAAAACCTACTTTATATAATTGGTTTTTAGTGTACAATATGTACATATTACAATATTTTATGCTATTTTAAGAAGCATTTAAAAAGTAAAATTCCTGGGCCAGAGAGATGGTTTGGCAGATAAGAGTGCTCAAGCCTGACAGCTCAGTTTGGATCCCCAAAACTAAAGTAAAAGCTGGATGCAGAGCTGGAGAGATGGCCCAGCTTGCAGAGGACCTGAGTTTCATTCCCAGCACCTATATCAGGAGGCTCACAACCTCCTGTAACTCTAGCTCCAGGGGGATTGGACGCCTCTGTACTCTGTCACCAGCATTCATGTGTAGGTACCTACACACAGATCCATAATCTAAAATCATAAAATGGAGCTGGAGAGATGGCTCAGTGGTTAAGAGCACATATTATTCTTCCAAAGGACCTGAGTTCAATTCCTAGCACACATATCAGGAGGCTAACAACCACTTGTAATTATAGCTCTAGGGGATCTGACACCTCTGGCCTCTATGGGCTCCAGTATTAATGTGGACACAGAAACACAGACACACATATACACATGATTAAAAATAAAATTTAAAAATAATAAAGTCCTTTAAAAAAAAAAGCTGGACTCTGTGATGCATGGCTATAACCCAGCATTTATTCTGTGAGATGGAAGGCAAAGGTAAGATAATCTCTAGAAGTTCAAAGGCCACCTAACATGGCAAACAAAAAGAGAGACCCTGCCACAAACAAGGTGGAAAGGGAGGACCAACCAGAGGTTGTCCTCTGACCTCTATGCAGGCACAATGGCACATACACCTGCCCTCATACACAAACACTTACAAAAAATATATATG